GCCCCTGCCTGTCCAGCACCAGCCTCCGGCCATCCCGCCGCCCCCCGCGCCGCTTCAGATCGCCCCGGGAGTTCTGCACCCGGCCCCACCGCCCGTGGCCCCGCCTCTCCACTCCTCGTCCCCGGCCCGCCACCACCACCACCACCACGTCCTGGACAAGGCCCCGCCCGGGGGCTCGGGGACCCTGTCGGACGGCACCGTCCTCCCTCCTCCCCCGCCCCCGCCCCCTCTGCCCCTCCCCGGAGCACGGAGCTCGTCGCCCTGCCCGTCGGGTCCTCCGCCCGTGCCGGCGTTCCCCTCAGCCGGAGCCATGGCTTTCCCGCCGCCGCACGCCGCGCACGATGTGGGGACCAAGTGGCACCACCCCTCCAATCTGCCACCCATCAGCGACGCGCGCAGCGTCCTGTTGGAGGCCATCAGAAAAGGTTGGACGAGCTTCAGGCAGAGTTTTAATGACTCTAAACTTCACTTTCTATCATTTATCTAAATAATGAAAACATTTAATATGTCAGCAGTTACATGAATAAGAAATATATATTCTTTATTGATTAAGTTAGTTTTTAAATTATGGTTACGTTTTACATGAATGAATGCTTCCTATAGATCAGGGTTCGAATCTGATTTTGCTAAAAATTTCATCTTTTTGCCCTGAAAAACTCCTGTTTCTTCTTTTATGGTTTGGCTCATTTTTTGTTATATTTGCTGTAAAAGAAAACTCAAACATTCTTTCTAAATGTGGGCAGACGTTAGCTCCGTTTATCCAACAGCTGAGGTTTTCTGTAAAATCAAAATGTTAGTGAAACAGAGGTGAAGAAACGTTTTACATTTCCTGAAATGTTTGATAGTTCACACCTCGTGGTGAACCCCCTGGTCTAGTTTATGGTACCTTTTTAGATGCATTTAGCTAATAACTAGCTTGTTGCTACGTTAAGCYTTTAGGCAGCTTTCAGCTAGTGTTTTACTTCACTTTACTAATGTTTTAACTTTTTTAGCTTTTAGCTATTGTTTCCCTTCCTTTAGCTTTTAGCTTGTTTGCTAATGTACTTTTAGCTTTTACTTATTGTTCTTTTTTAAAACTTAAACACCTCAATTTCAGCTTTTCAGCAATTTTCAGACAGTCCTTGTTGCAGAAAATGAAATGTTTCTAGTTTATATTTTAAATTTTTATAGTTTGCTTTTACACACTCAAGTACAAAATGACATCACTTCCTGTTTTTTTGGGGGGGGTATATTTTGTTACTAACTTTGACTTTTAGTCTGAACCTAAAGCCTCTTGCCTTCGCTGCAGGCATCCAGCTGCGCAAAGTGGAGGAGCAGCGAGAACAGGAGGCTAAACACGAGCGAGTGGGGAACGACGTGGCCACCATCCTGTCGCGGCGCATCGCCGTGGAGTACTCCGACTCGGAGGACGAGTCGGAGTTTGACGAGGGAGACTGGATGGAATGATGGAAGTGTGGGGGGGATAAAAACGAGAGAAAGCAGCGTTGGTGGTGATTGAGGACAGAAAAATGTTCAGGTCCCCCCACCCCCAGGCCTCCACAGCTCTGTGTCACAGAAGAGGAGCTTCTTGTCATATCTGTTTTGTTGTTTGAGTTCAGTGGAAAGTCTCCACGTCACTCATTAATCTGTCTAGTGTTGAAGAAACTTTTTTCTTTTATTTTTATTTTTTTACAGGATTTCTTGTGAAATCCCTCATGTTTACTGATAGAAAAGAAAATACTAGTTTTGTTTAATTAAAAAACATTAAAAGAGAAGGAAATTTGAAGGCATGTTGCTTCTATCTTCTCTGATATCATACTGCCACCTGGTGGCTGAACATGGCATTGCGTGAATGCTGCTCTCCTACGTTTCTTCTTTTTTTTCAACTACCGGTACATCTCATTTACAGTTCAGCAGAAGCGTTGCTTCTTGTTTCTGCTTTAAAAACAACAACAACTGACTTTTAAACGATTTAACACTCTGAGGAAGATCAGAAAGTGTTTGTCTGCTTCGACCACACGTGTGCGAATCCATCCTCTTTCTTTTATCCCAGGGAAATGYGGGAGGAGAGACACTTCCTGCACAAGTTGACAAGTGATAAAAAAAATAACTCTAAGCCATTGATTTGAAAGGTACACTTACCTCTCGATGTTTCCTCACACTTTTTCGACTTTTAAGAGAGTTCCTGCCTCAGAATACTCAACACCAGGTACAAACCAGTAAATGTTTACTGCAGGCAGCTTGATCAGATCTCCCTGTACTGTGTTCCATTAACAAGTCTTTCCTTGTTCGGCTTTTTGTTCATTTCAAATAAATGTCCGTCGTCATTTTTAGTTTTTTTTCTCTCTTCTACTTGCCTTATTGTTCGTACAAAATGTATCGTTGAGTTGATGAATGTATTGTGCCGTTACTACTTACTTGCCTGCGCTTGTACGGATTTGCTGTTTCTCTGTTTTGTTTTGTTTTGTTTTGTTGTCGTTTTCTCGGGGGAGGATGAGGGCAGAACGGTGCAGAAGCCTTGGTTTTACAAATCCAAATCCAAAAAGATTTGCTCATTATTGTCCTCCGTATAACTTATGTAACTGTTGACTGTAACAGTTTGCTTGAATTAATAATAAAACTCTAATGTTCTGTTTCAGCTCTGCTGGTTTACAAAGTCTGGGTTTTTCAGAAAAAGAAGAAACTGAGATCTTATGTTGAGAAATGACAGATTTATAGCTTGTTTTTTTTATTGGGTTGAGTCTGGAGATTAAGTCAGATCAYGTGGTTTCCTGGTTTTCAAATTATTTAAGTAACAGGACTCAGAGTATTAAATATGATGGTTTGTGTTCTGATTTTATGAGTACAAGTGGGGTGCCACAGGGTTCAATCTTGGGTCCCCTCCTGTTCATTATGTACATTAATAGATTAGGACAAAATGTGTCAGATGCTAATATGCATTTTTATGCTGACGACACAATTGTTTACTGTCTTGGATCGATTGTTGCTAAAGCTGTAGAATCTGTGCAGAGAGATTTTAATGTTGTTTAGCACACATTCCTGCAGCTAAAGTTGCTACTCAGTGCTGATAAGAYTAAACTAATGYTATTTGCAAACACCCAAAAGGTGCCTCAGACGATCCCCGCTGTGTCCACTCTTGAAGGAAATTTAGAAATGGTTCACATACAAATATCTTGGGTTCTTGATTGATGAGTCCCTCAGTTTTAAATCCCATGTTCAAAGTCTGGTGAAGAAACTTAAACTCAAACTGGGCTTCTTTTTTCAAAACAAAACAAATTTTTCTTTTAAGGTTAAAAAGCAGCTTGTCGCAGCAACATTTTTATACATTTTAGATCATGGAAACTTGTTATATATGAATACCTCAGCACGATAAATTTAATAATGAAGTTGATGCGGTCTGCCATGCTTCTCTGAGGTTTGTCACAAACTGTAAAGCCTCGACTCATCAGTGTGATCTGTACACTGGGGTGGGATGGCCTTCTTTGTCCACCAGAAGGTTGGGACATTGGTATATTTTTATTTTATAAAGCTTTGCTGGGGTTGCTACCAAAAAACGTTGATTCACACTCCTTGCTTTCAAATGATCATTTCTTCTTCTCTGTCCCATTTCTCCGTACAGAACTGGTAAAAAGGGCCTTTGTTTACTCTGCCCGTCTACATGGAACATGTTGCAAAAAGTCTGGAAGTTAACTGAACTGATCCCATCGAGCACCTTTAAGTCCAGATTGAAGGCATTAGATATGGCTTCCTTGAATTGTGAATGTTTTTAATAGTGATTGTATGTGTTTTAATTGTGTAACTCTATGTAAATGTATATTTTTGTTTGCCTCTTGGCCAGGACTCCCCTGAAAAAGAGCCGTTTAATTTCAGTGGTTAAATAAACGATAACAGTCAGTTAAATATTTCAATGAACACATTAAAGCTGAACAGAACAGACTCTCATTGRAGGTCTAAATTAAACCCAGGTGTGGTTGCAGACCACAGTTCGTATAGCCCCACCAGGCTGAATGAYTGTTCAAAAATTCGTTGGTTGAAAAAGAGCTTATGGCRGGGCTATTCAACTAAATTTCTCCGGTTGTTATTTTTACTATCTTGRGTGTTCGTTGAAATGTTTTTTACCAGCTTMTAGCCAAGATTCTGATGTTTCTGCAGACACCAAACATGTCTAAAGTAGAAAACTGGGGGGTTTGGACTTCAGAGATGGATGAACCAWTGATCRGGCCGATTTTGGTCACTGCTGCTAATTTGTCCACCTCCCCTCCCTTGTGGAAGTTTTTTCTCTTCTTCTTCATAACTTTAAGTACATTTATGACTGTGTTCATGAGCGTCTAAAATCATCTGCAGGTGTGTGTTTCTGAGGGGCTGTTTATTTGATGATTTTGTACACAAAAGAAAATGAGCAGTTCGACACATGGGTTTCAGCTGTGGCCTTTTTTTTTTATACTCCAAACCAGAATAGAGGAGGGGTTTTCTCCACATCCTGCAGTCGTTTGTCTGGATTTGGCTGAAATCTGCCGCCACGTGGAAGGCATTTGTGTCTGAGGGCTGCTTTTCTCTCTCCTGCAAGAACAAAGGCCGTGTAAAGTCAAATCACCTCCTCCAGCTCCAGAATTTGAAAATGAAATCGGAGCCGCTGACAGAAACATGGGAAACACTTTATACTAATGTAGGGGTCACCTCGAGTGAAATTATCAAGGAACTGTTGGACTCTCAGTCCTCTGATGGGCCTTCGAAGGGACAAAACTCTGTTCCACTTAGATCTGTATTTAGGCCACCTCAGGTCGCCTTAACCTCAAAGAGACATTCTCTTTCCTTTTAAATCAGATAATAAACAGAAGAATCTTCTCTTATTTGATTTATTGTTCTCTTAACTGAAATTATTACACATTTTGATAATCAGAGAATGTTTATCAAAGTTACAGGAGAAGAGAGGACAGATCTCTTTTCTCCCTCAGAATGATTTCAGCTACTGTATGAACAATGTTAAAAACAACCTATAGAATTTAACCAAAAAAATTGGGGTAACAATTTGCAACCAATTTACTTGGGTAAATTTAACCAAAAACTATTAGTAAA